ACCGGTCTGTATGTGGGATCCGAACCCTCGGCGGGAGCGCCGCCGCGCTTCCCAAGCGGCGCACTATCCAGTGCGCCACTGGGCCGGCCCGAGGGCAGTGTTTCTTACACGCCCTGATCTCTGACTCCACCCGGCCATGCTCCCCCACCACACCCCTCTGCGTGCTGTGCACCGAGCATTGGTTTCCTCCCACCCCTTCAACATCCCCTTCCTCTGGATCTGCCTCGGACCCTATTTGGGAGTTTCTTTTAGAGCGGCAGCCCTCAGCCAACGAGAATCATGACAAGCAAATCACGCCACTGCCAAGGCCTCCCAGTGGCTGCTCTACGAGAAGCTGCAGCATGTCCCCTGTTTGTTGCTCACAACTGTCCTGTGAAGTGGCTGGGGGACCCCCCTATTAGAGACGGAGAAACTAAGGGTCGGAGAAGTCGAGACACACGTGGGGAGATGTCGAGCCGGAACCCATTCCTTGTTCTTCCACCCACACCGCTTAAACCCAAGGCTCAACTTTAACTCGAAGCTCTCCTTCCTTCAACTCCTTCAACGAACATTAGCCAAGCACCTAACGGCACGGGGTGTTCGAGCCGCGCGGGCAGATGGCATAAAGGCATAGCCCAGGAGGGTGGCATGAGGGTGCACTCTGAGAGGTGGGTTTCTCCCCTAGAGAAAAAGGAGAGCATGCTCAATGCCCTGACCGCCGTCCTGCAGGGGCTCATGGCTCCCTAAGGGAGACAGGCGGGAGCTCGGGGATAGGGTGAGGACAGCACAGGCAATGACAGGAGACTTGTGAGTGCGTGAGTGTCAGAGCAGATGTGTACCACTGTGTGTGTGCAAAGGTAAGTGTGCATCTCTGTGTGCAAGAGTAAATGTGTAGCTGTGCACGTGTGTGTGTATCCTACATGGTAGGGAAGCTGTGAATAAAGATTCTGTGCAGAATACATGCCTGAGTTTGCGTGTTTGGGGGGTTTTGTGATGTGCAAACTTGCGTGAAGTGTCTCTCTGAGTATGTTTGTGATGCAGAGTGTGAGTGTGTGCGCAGAGCGGCAGCCCTCAGCCAACGAGAATCATGACAAGCAAATCACGCCACTGCCAAGGCCTCCCAGTGGCTGCTCTACGAGAAGCTGCAGCATGTCCCCTGTTTGTTGCTCACAACTGTCCTGTGAAGTGGCTGGGGGACCCCCCTATTAGAGACGGAGAAACTAAGGGTCGGAGAAGTCGAGACACACGTGGGGAGATGTCGAGCCGGAACCCATTCCTTGTTCTTCCACCCACACCGCTTAAACCCAAGGCTCAACTTTAACTCGAAGCTCTCCTTCCTTCAACTCCTTCAACGAACATTAGCCAAGCACCTAACGGCACGGGGTGTTCGAGCCGCGCGGGCAGATGGCATAAAGGCATAGCCCAGGAGGGTGGCATGAGGGTGCAGCCGGGGCCCTCAGCTCCCCCGCCAGCCCGGTCTGGGCAGAGTGACCGGGGCCCCGGCCGAGCCCCGGGGCTGGCGGAGGAACGGAGATGAACTCGGCGGAGGCTCGAGGATGCCGCCGGGGTGCGGGGCTGTCTCGCGCGCGGCTTCCGGCACTCACCTGTGGGACCCACAGAGCTGCTCGTCTCAGGGATGGAAGCCGCCATTCGGCCATTCGGCGCTGAAATGTCGTCATCAAACTGCGCGCGGCGTCAGCCCCCCCACCCCCTCCCTGGCCTGACGGGAAAAGCGCCCCTACCTCTTTGGGACGCTACCTCAAAAGGCGCGTGCGCAAGGCGAAGGCCTGCCGGGTGGGAGACGGCGGGGTGGTCCACCGCTAAATGAGCATGCGCACTGGCGATATCTGCGCTCCTTTCGTTGAGCTCACTCACCTTATCCACGGCAAGTAGTGCGCGTGCGCGCAAGCAGAGGCCGTTTATGAGGATCCCCGAGGAGCGCCCCCTCGTGAGGAACCGGTGCGGAACAATTACATACTATATCGAATGCCCTTCATCCAATAGGTTTCACTGAGTGCCCGCTGTATGCCAGGCACTGCACTGAGTGCTGCTACTTAGGCGAACAGGACCAATGCAGTCTATTCGGGAAGACCTGATCGCCTCTGAGCGGGCTTTTGTGGTTCTCCGCGGCATCCCCCACGCCTAACACGCCGCCTGGCACACAGAAGGGGCTCAATAAATGTCGGGAGATTTAATGATGTTATGGAAATGGCCCTGGACGCCGCCCTCCCGGCTGGGGCTGCTTGCGAAGTCCGGCGTTGGAGCGTCAAGGAGGCGAACGGGGGTCTGCGGCCGGTAGACGGCGCTGTGGGAGCGGGCGGCGGGCAGGGCGCGGGCGGGCCGCACTCCTTCCCGCGGGCCGCGCAGATGGCGGCGCCGGGCCCCCGGCCCGGGGCGACTCCGGGGCTGGAGGCGACCATGCAGAAGCTCGCGCTGCGGCGGAAGAAGGTGCTGAGCGCCGAGGAGATGGAGCTGTACGAGCTGGCGCAGGCGGCGGGCGGCGCCATCGACCCCGACGTGTTCAAGTGAGCGGGCGCGGGTGGGAGCTTCGCTCTCCGCCGACCCCCAGGCACCCCTGCTCTCCCGGCGACTCCGGCTTGGGCCCGCTGGTCTAGAAGAGCCCCCCGCCCTTGTTAGGGTCTTCGGGGAGGTGTGCCCGCCCTCGCCCTCGCCGGCCTGTCCGTCGGCGGGAGGGCTCACAGCGCGCCGCATTTGTTCTCGCCAGGATCCTGGTGGACCTACTGAAGCTGAACGTGGCCCCCCTCGCCGTCTTCCAGATGCTCAAGTCCATGTGTGCCGGGCAGAGGCTGGCGAGCGAGCCCCCGGACGCTGCGGCCGTGTCTCTGCCCACCTCAAGCGTGCCCGAGACCCGAGGTCAGAGCTGGGCCCGGAGCTCCCAGCTCCGGTGGTGGCCGCGGGTGGCGGGAGCGGGAGGATGACAGGCGCGGCGCAGTGCAGGTGCAGCCCTAAATGACCAGGCCTGTCCGTGGGTCTTTTCCCAGGACCTGCAGGGCCATCCAGTGCTCGTCCCTTTGGCTTCAGTACCCGGCTTTGCTCCCATGCTTGAGAGTGCACTTCCAGACCGAGTGGGCACACAGTGGGTGCCCCAGAGTGGTCCGAGCAGGCTAAGGCGCATCTGCTCCAGCCTTTTGTCACCTCTTCTCTGAGGCCTTCATTCCACAAACACGGGGATAACAGCTTTGGTCCCTGTCCTCGAGGAATTACAGCCTCCAGGGAAATGCTCAGGGAGCCGGGCAGACAGAGAGGCCTTCTTGCCACCTCCTCCCCTGTAGTCTACCCACGCCCAGGGCCTGCCCAGGGGCCTGGCCAGCCTGGTTTCCCTCTGAGGACTGCAAGAGGGGGGTCAACGTGGTAGCCCCTAGCTGCTCTAGATCATGCAGAACTCCTCCCATAGTGCAGACGGCTGAGGTGCAGGACACCCCAGAGCACAGGTTTGAGGAGCTTCCTCACTTTCACAGTCATGACTGGTGATGAGGAGATGCTGATGACAAAAGTATGTCGTGGTGGAGCCTCACGTCCCTGCTCCAGCTCATCCTCCCTGCATGTTGCTTCTGTTCCTGATGGCTAATTGGAAAACTCTCTGAAATGCAACAGAACCTCCCAGGCAAATGGAAGAAGGTCCAGGGCTGGCTCCCTGCCTGGAAGCACGAGGACACCTGTCTAGGCATCCTGAGAAGGGGCGGAGGGCAGGCTGGGCCCCTCTGGTGGGAGTGCCAGGGCCCGGGGCACCTGTGTCCCTGACCCACGCTCTGTCTGCTCACTGACCCACACTCTGTCTGCTCTGTTTGTGTCTCTCTCTGACCTCCAGAGGCCTCCTTTCTCTCTGCCAGGAACAGTAGCCCCCCCGCAAGGCCCTCCTTTTCCTCAGCCCTGCAGCCTGCGGCCTCTCCAGTTCTGCTCCACGGCCCGGCTGCCACGCACTCGCCTCTCTCTCCCGGGCCCCCCGGTTCCCTCCGGCTCTCTTGCTGCCTGTTCTCTCCTTTTGCAGGTCGCGTTTATTGGCTTATCTCGGGGGGGGTAGTGCTTTCTCTTGTTTCCAAGGCCCTGGGAGGCCAGAGCAACTTTGAGCTGCAAGGGCAGGGCTGTGGCAGCGATTTCTGGCTTGGTTTATTACTGCAGTACTTCTAACACGTGCAGTCAGGCTGGCATCAGGGGACGAGACCAACACCTCCTGCACCCCAGAGGCTATCTCTTGTGGGTGAGACTTGTGCTATGTAAAGTGCCCCCACCCCAGGCCGAGAGGCAGGGAAGAGGCGGTGTGGTGTGCCATCCCCTACTGGATGGGAAGTCTGGAGGATAAAATGGACGCTCACGTCTTCCCTGAGCCTCCTGGCAGCACCGTGTGATGATATGTGCTTGTCCCATTAGCCACACTTGGAAACTGAGTCCCTTTCCTCCCTCATTCCTGAGCTGAGGGCACCTTCCTGGTGTCCATGGGTGTAGTGAGGCTGGAGACACAGAGCCAGGGCTGTGTAAGATCCCATGGGTGCTCCGGTTGCACCTTCCTCCACGCCCCTCCCCACATCACCCACCTTTGCTCCAGGTGGCACCTGGAGCTCAGCCTCAGGGAGGGTGAGGAAAGGCTGAAGTTCAGGTTAGGGTAGGGGTGGGTGGATTACAGGCCAAGATGAGGAATCGGTGGGTGTGTGTCCAGAGGGAGGGAGAACTGAAGAGACATTGCTGCTCACAGTGGCTCTGGGTGCTGCCTGGCTCTCAGTCCAGTGGGAGAGGTGGCTGGATAAACACACGGTGATGGAGATGGGAGAAGGCTGTCCAGTCACTGGGGGCTTCAGAGCCACGAGAGCAGCAAGGGTTAAGCGGGGTGGGAGTGGGAGGGCAGCCCTGCAAAGGTGGGACAGTGGGGAGGGGATGGGCAAGGCAGAGATGCACTGCAGAGCATGTGTGTCCAACCCACTAGGGCAGGAGGAGGAAGGAAAAGAGGGCAGAGCGTCCGGAGGTATGTGGGGGCATGGCTCTAGGAGCACAGGCATAGAGGGGGCCAGAGGATCAGGGGTGACTCGTGAATGAGTGGGGGCTCTGAGGGAGGAGGGAGGAAGCCCCAAGCATGAGGACAGGAGTGGCATGGAGTGCTGGGCCCCACAGGATAGTTTGGTCCTCGAGGGCTCAGTCCTGGAAGCATAGGCCAGGCCCTGGTCCTACTAGGCTGGGCAGCAGAAGGCCAGGACACAGGACACGGAGGCCCTGGGGAGATGGCCAGTGGGGGCAGAGGAGAGCCTGGGGAGGCTGGTTGATGGGGAGGAGGCGGAGGGGAGTGGAACAGATGTGGGCTCACATCAGGAGTATGCTGCATCTGAAAGGCAGAGGCCACTAGATGAGACACAGAGATCTCTGAGGCCTATGTGTTCCAGCATCTGTCCACAGACCTTCTGGCCACATCATTAATGACAGTGTGTGGGGTGGGGAAAATAAGGGAAATTGTCAGAGTGGTCCAGTTGGTGTGTGGTGGCCAAAGGTTTCCCGCAGGACTCAAGGCGTGGACTTGCTCCAGGCCTGGAGTCAGAGTTTAACTCAGAGGCATAACCCTGTAAGCTGCAGCAGGCACAAAGGGGTCATCTGGATTCCTGTACCCTGACCATCCAGGTGGGCTGCAAGGACTACTCACTCATGTCTGGCAGAGAAGGGGAAAGTAAAAGACCCCAGAACCACAGAAGGGTAATGCTTGTCATGGTGAGGGTCTGGGGTCACTGAGGGAAAATTAAATTCAGTTGAGTGTTCCCTGTTTAAGTTCAGGAAAACAGTACATTTTTAAAAGCTGTCCCTTCAGGACACATAACAATGAAGTTGGTGTGCAGAAGCTGTGAGTCTCATGCGAGCTGTGCTGTCCAGTACGGGAGCCACGAGCCACGAGCCACACGTGGCTGGTGTGGTTGAGATGCACTGCATGTGTATTAGTCCATTTTTGTTGCTTATAACAAAATACTTGGAACTGGGTAATTTATAAAGAAAATGAAATTTATTGCTTACAGTTTCTGAAGCTGGGAAGTCCAAAGTCCATCTGGTGGTGTCAACAGTGACCCAGGGGTCTTACATTGCAAGTTGGTGGAAGCAGAGAGAGCCAGCAAGAGAGACAGACTCTCCTCTTCTTTTAAAGCCCTCAGAACCACGTCCCTGACCACCATTTTTAATCCATTCACTACTGCATGGTCCTACAACCTAATTGCCTCTTCAAGGCTCCACCTTTCAATTACCATAATAGGATTTCCCACCCTCTTAACAGTCACAGTGAGGGCTAAGTTTCTAATACATAAAACTTAGGGGACACAATTCAAGCTTCAGTGAGTTTTGGGGGGATATAATTCAATCCGCTGCAGCGTGTATTTGAATATACACTTATATGAATAACTTATGTGTTAGCTACATGATGAAATGATAATATGTTGAATATTTTGGGTTAAATAAGATGTTTGAATTAATTTTCCACTTCCTTTTACTTATCAACATGGCTACTAGAAAGTTTTAAATTACACATGTGGCTCACATCATATTCCTGTAAGAGTTAAAAGCACGTGTGCAAGTCCATGTTGCATGTCTGTCTTAGTCGCTAGGTCTATATGTGTTCTGGAAGCACCGATTAGGCCCTTGCTATGTGCCTGGCCAGAGAGGGCAGCAGTACTGGCTGGTGAACTGCACAGACCTTCCGGGTCTGTGCTGACTGCCCACTCTTTCTGGCCACTAGACCCTGCCAGCCAGCCTGGAGAGAGCTGTGCACTTTGTTTGGGGAGCCGAATTGGCTGCCACCAGGACAGATTGTGTGCTCATGAAGATCTGGGGGTGGCGCGCGTGATGCTGACACTGCCTCATGCTTGCTGCTGCACGCTCCTGCAGCACGGCCTGTAGTGTCCTCTTTCCCTCCTCAGTTCCCCCACCTCTCTTCTGTGCCTGCCTCTGTTCTATTCCTTCCTAACACAAATGCCTGCTAGCACATGTCGCCACGAGGTGGCACTCTCTCTAAGAAAGAAAGGAGAAAGGCCACCCTTGGGGACTGGCAGAAAGGGATAGGAGAAGCTGTACGCGCTGGACTGTTTACAAATCCTTGTTCCCCACCAGCTCTGCCCTGCAGAATTGACAGGGCTGGTGAGTTGGGCTCACAGAGGCCACACCAAAGACAAATGGCAGTGGGTCCCACCCCAGTCTGGCTCACTCCCCAAGTCATGGGTGGCTGGCAGAATGGTGCATTTGGGGGGTTTACTGCATTAGGGGGGTCACAAAATGCTGGGAGGCCACCAGCTGGTTTCAGGGGTAGGAGGAGCACTGATTTATGAAGAGATTGAGGCTGGCTGTATTTAACATTCCATGGTCCTTGCCTGTCTGTGGTGTGGAAGAGGGCCCTTCAGGGACCAGCCTGGGAGCATCAGTTGCCACTGCCCTCCCATCCAGCCTGCAGTCACACTTGGTTCAGTCCCACCCTCCACCCCATCTGACCCCAATAACCCCACTACGAGGGGGGCTGGGCTTGACAGGTGCTGCTGGGTCCTGCCCTTCATGTCGCTGCTGACCATTCTCGGGCCTGGAACCACATTCCTCTCGGCCTCCTCGTCCATGCATAAAATGAGGCTGAATGGGCCTCCCCACTTACAGCCAGAGCACGTGACTCCTGAGGGGTTCCAAGAATTGCATTGAGCTGGATAAATGGGTCTTCTTTAGTTGTTATATTGTCATGTTAACGTCTTCTGTGGCTCAGAGTTACATTGGTTTCCCATTTCTGGGTTTATCAGCCCTGTCATATGTAAAGATGAGCATTATTTGCTCTTTTCTACTCCCACACTTCCTTCTCAGGTTTCCAGAAGGGACCTGGGTCATTATACTGAGGGGGAGGAGTGGAGGCTCAGGTGGGGGGCAGGCTGAACAAAAGTTAGCTTCAGAGTCAGGCCACATCTGAGCCCCGCCCTGCTCTTGGCCATATTTCTACATAGGTCAGGAAATGCCCCTCACCAGGAGAAAGTGTGTGGGGCACCTGAGCACCCGGGGTTAGGCCACCTGCTTACAGAAGGCCTCATTCTGCCTGGCCTGGCCTGCAGAGGGACTGTGGCCTCAGAGGAGGACAGTAGCAGACGCTATGGCAGACACAGGGTGGTAGGGCCCATCCACTCATAGAGATGGGGTCCTTGCCCACTGACCAGTCAATGGGGACCAGAATAATGGCAATTTGTACCAGAAGGAATGTGTGGTAACAGTTCTCTGCCTTGTGTCTTTTTCATGAGTCACTGTTAGGCTGAGTTGGCCCAACTTCACACACCCCACCCCACAGACTCCTGTCTGTTCCCCTAATCTGCATGAAGCACTTGATTGTGAAGCCCCAGGAGGTGAGACAGGGGAAATCAAAGATGAGCTGTCAACAAGTGTGGCACTACTGTAACCCTCCCTACCCCATGCCCCACTCCAGGCGGCAAAGATGTCCTCATTCTCTGAAGAACTTTTTTTTTTTTCCCCTCAAGAAACTCTCATGAGGGCTGTCTTACCCCGGTAGGAATCTAGGAAGAATTTAGTTGTCAGTATTGGAGAGCATGGAAAGTGAGTTGGAACTGCCTCTGGAGGAGCCAGAGTCTACAGTGTCTAAGATGCAGGTGCCTCCTTCTTAAAGGTGACAAATAGTGGAACAGAAGTGACCCAACTGACTCCTAAGACACCTCATAACTAACAATTCCATATTGCAGCCCATTTGACTAAACTTAATGAAGAGGCGAGGGAAGAACTGGGATCGAGGCTGGATGTTCTGTCCGGCTGAACCTGTGCCTGGAGTAGCCCGGAAAGCAGCGGCAGAATTCCTGCCAGGGACTGCTCCAAACTGTCCTGAGATGGGATCAGTTGGGATGCCAAAGAAAGAAGCACTAAAAGCCAGGGTGATCAGCTCAAGGCATGTGTTAGGGAAACTTACAGAGGGGGCAGCAGTGTGTACTCTTGATGGACAGCAAGAGGTGTTCTACCTAGGTATGTCTGCCCTGAGTGGGTTGGGTTATGGGGTTTATATGAGAGTTCAAGGAATTTGGCTGGGGTGGATCTAGTTTCTATGTGTTTAGCAACATGTTTGACCTTTAGGTACTTCAGGTAACAACCTTAACAAGTTTTTTAAGTGTCTGGCAATATAAGGCCCAGGCTTGAGTTCAAGCCTGCAGAGAAAAACATACAGCTGGCCAGCTCACAATGTGGTCAAAACACTGTGTTTCTCAGTCAGGACAAGAGAAAAGTGAGAAGGCACTGGGGAGCCCTACACTGGGGCTCAAGCAGGGAACACGCCCTGGTTAGAGCCCACAGGGTAGACACTGCCAGATGGGAGTGGAGGAGAGCCCTGGCTGCCGCACTCCAGGTGGGCAGACTGTGACCCCATGCGCAAGCCTGCTCCCCGGGCACGTTCTGTCCTCCATAGGGTCCTTTCAGTTTTGCTGAAGTTGTCAATGCCCTAAGCCCAGGGGAAGCCACTCCTTTAAAATAAAACTCTAGCCCAACTGTGGCTGCAAATCTTTCTATCTTCACAAAGAAGTAAACAATTAGATTAAGGAATATCTGAACCAGTGGTCTTCATTTGAGTGTGACTATCTAATGGTCAGAGGAAAATCTCAAACATTCAAACTTCAGCAGGAACCCAGTCATGAAAGCTGGTAGCTAAACCCAAGAGGCTTGGCCACTGTGTTTGCAGAATACTTAGTGAGGAAAGAAATGTGAGAGAGATCCCAAAATCAAAATCAGAAACCTGACTTCAGTATTTGGTGACTGCCATGCTTCCTGCCTGACACAGTCAATTGGGGCAGCTCAGTGTGAACACGTCCATGGAGGATGAGGAGTGAGCCCCTCCCGCCACTGCTGGCACAGTTGGGGCAGACCACATCCACTGTCCAGGCCAGTTGTGAACCAGCCGAGCTTACCTTGCCCTGAATGGACCTGTGGCATGTGTCCTTTCAAAACATTTCCAGGGGCCAGCCCAGTGGCGCACTGCTACAGTGCGCCGCTTGGGAGCGCGGTGGCGCTCCTGCCGAGGGTTCGGATCCCACATACAGACCGGTTCCCGCTCACTGGCTGAGCGAGGTGTGGGAGCAACACTGAGGGTTGCAATCCTGTTCCCGGTCCCGGTCCGGTACGGGCGTGACACTGAGGGTTGCGATCCGTTGCCGGACACGAAAAAAGATTAAAAAAAAAAAAAAAAAACATTTCCAACTGCTCCTTGCATCGACATGTCCCAGAGGGTCTCCTGCATGCTGCCAAGAGCATCTTTTCTGGGATTGCTGCCTTTAAGCAGTTCTGAGCCTCAGGACTCTGGGCTGACGTGGGGTCCCCAGCTGAAACAGCTTTCACAGAAACATAAACGTAAATGTTGCTCAAGGAACACAAATACCGCATGTGTGTTGCAGTTGTAGGGTTTGCCCTGGTTCTTAACGGTGCTGTTGTATGTCTCCTCAGGGAGAAACAGAGGCAGCACAGCTCTTGGAGGAGCACCGGCACTGGCCGAACGCAGCAGCCGGGAGGGGTCCAGCCAGAGGCTGCCCCGCCAGCCCAGTGCTACCAGGCTGCCCAAGGCAGGCGGGCCTGGGAAGAGCCCCACTCGGAACAGCAACTAGGATAGGGCAGAGACTTGTCTCACATCGGCCTGCTGGGGGCTGCACTGTTCTCCCGAGAGGCTACATGTTGTTTCCTTCAATTGATAATAAACCTTTCTGGAAAACTGTGGGTCCAGATCAAGACTTTTTCTGTCACTTTTTGAATATATTAAGACACAAAAACTTAGAATGAGTTATGTGCTGGCCCTGGTTATGCCACAGCTAGCTGAACTTAAAGAGATTTAAACCACTGACTTCACCTTCCTGGACCTGATTTTCAGGTCTGAGAGAAAACATATGTATTGCCAGGTCTTCTGTAAACAGACATCAACACACTTTATGGGAAGCGACAGGTGCGACATCTTCCACGGGGACCGCCAACAGTGCTGCTATCTTCCAGATTACACAGAACAGTGAGGTCAAGATGGGTATGTTGTGACCTTCCACATGTCATGAATGCCCTGGAAACTTCAATAACACCCTTCCCCCAAAAATGTCCTCACCTTACACATCTGACCCACAGTTTCAGGGATTTCGTGGACACCCCCCCATCCAGACTTCATTTTTACACACTCCAGTTCTAAGCTTGTACACTTTAGTCAGCATGTCGCATGAATGGAGAAGCCCCCAAAATAGCAAATTCAATTCAAAGACCTAACTCCGTTTTCCTACAATGTAGTAAATCTTTACACTTTGACATGTTGGAGTTGAAATGTTGAGTATTTCCCTCAGGTCAAGTCACTTCAGCAGGGCTTCCTTAAACATGAGCAGCAGGGCTGTTCCCCAACCACCACTCCAAGAGGCAGACTGTAGAGCCTGGACCTGCCTTCCATGTGGGCTCTGAAATCCTAGCCACCTCTGTGAGAGCTGCACAGCCCGACAGACAGACAAAGTCTTGGCTTTATACAGAAACTTTAATTGTGAACAATGTGAAAGCAGCCGGGCCGAGGAGGGGCAGGAGAGCGGAAGAGCGGACCGCCGCCAGCCCCCTCCCGCTCAGTACTCTTCCCCTTCTTCGGCCTCTGCTTCCACGGAATCCACGCCCACCTCTTCATAATCCTTCTCCAGAGCCGCCAGGT